CGCATCTATTAAGATGCAAATAAAATCATAAACCTTAAGTGTTTTAATAGATGCATCTGAGTCACATTGTTTTGACTTCTCAAAAGGAAGGCAGACATTATTATTATAACACCTTTTTACCCGGTTCTCAAGCTGGGAAAGACGTGTCTCTTAGAGCCCATCAGTTCATTAAGTCACCCAAACACTTTGATTTATCAAAAAAAAAAAAAAAGAAATGCTAATACAGTTTATCAATCAAGAGTCTGAAGGTTTAATTTTTAGCACATCAACAAATAATTTAATTTCACTACAAATTAATGCTTTGTGGAGATTACTTAGGGCATAAAAACGGCATAAGTAGCACTCAGAGAGGGAGATTTTATATAATCAAAATATAATTAAATGTTGCTCCTCAGCTGAGAAATCTCCGCGTGTTTTAGTTAATCAAGTTGAACAGTAGACAAACAAAATCGCCTGGTGTTGTAATTACTATAATGGGAGTGTTTAAAATTAATCATTGTGCATGAGGTGAGCCACATAAATCATTCCAAATTAGAGTCAAAATCATTTGTTTTACATGGTGATTTAACAGGTTGCCCTCTTTAACAGGTTGCCCTCTTTTGTGATGGTTTTCTGAATGTGATGGGTATTTGATGATTCTCTCATTTCTAGAAAATAGAGGAATTCACAGAAGCCACTCGCAGAAGTCTGGGTTCACTATGAGCATTTCTAAAATTATTTCACATCACAGCTCTCAACGTCTACATGTTTCACTGGGATTTTGAGGTTTAGACCAACACAAAGTGCTGCCAAAATGAGAATTGAAGGAAAATTATATATAGAAATAAATTGTTCTTTGCAAATAAAAATCTGTAAAGTGTGTAATGTAACTTAACGTCACAGTTTTGTTAGAGAACATTAGTGAAGGGACATTTGAAGTTTGCTGTATGTGGTTGAGGGAAAAAATTGTTCATGCTGAGGTTTGTGGCTGTAATATGATGAAATGTGTAGAAGTAAAAACATTATGATTACTTTTGCACTGTGCATTTCTTGCACACTGGAAACTTTGGAACCCGATAAAGATTAGATAGACAAACTGTTGGATAATATTCTGAGAGTACTTGCTTTTTCTGTTGGATGTGATTACAGTTTGGATGACTTTATTTTGCTTTTTTTTTGGTCTTTTTTCAAACTCGTTTTTTCCTCATGTTTCTGCCAATCAGAGCTTTTTGTTTAAGACTTGCCTGGAATACGGAGAGGAAAAAAAACAGGTGTTCAACATTCAAGCTCGACTATTTTGAGAGGTTTGTGACTAAATTTGTCTCGTTTATGAATCTGGCATTTTCTTTTCAGAAAATGTCATGATGGGAACTCTCTGCACAACTTTTAGAGGTTATTTTTAATTCAAGTCAATCTGGGTCTATGTATTTATGCAAATAGAAAGCCATCTCCGGGAAGCTAAGGATGAGTGGACTGCACTCAAAAGATGCATGGGTAAAAGATAAAAAATGTAGTTGATTGCAAATATCTTTCCTAGAAACATAATCTAGGTTGGTGGTAAACAACTTCAAGGTTTCACATTTGGGATGGAAGGCAAAGTGATGCCAACCTTGGCAAAGTGTTTTGTTTTTCTGAAGCGCTAATATTGCAATGCAATTCACCAGGCCGCATGGATAAATGCAGCTGAGCACCAACGTCAATAGTCTTGAAAGTACATATAAATAAAAAAGTATTGCTTCGAGCTGTGGAACTGTACAGACCCATTGAGATAAAAAAAGGAGAATATTGCCAAAATGTCACTTATTTCAGGAAGTTTGATTGTAATAAGAGGCTTTGGGCTTGTGTTTGTTCCAAAGATGCTTGCAGGTTTAATGAGTCGTGTGTTGCGGTTTTTGGGCACGGAAATAAGCGAACATAAACCCCAGAATTTGTCTGACATCCAGTTAGTTTTAATCTAATTTTTCCTGTCCATCATTTCTCAGATGATCCGTCCATGACACTGGATTTATTTATAGTTTTTCAGACAATAGAGGAACACACAAAAACACGCACAAATTACTAGCTTTTTGTTTTTTTTTTTGTACTGTTGTAACCATTACAAAATCTCCCCTTAGTTACTTTCTAAATCAAGTAATCAGTAATCTAACCAAGTTACTTTTTCAAGGAGTAATCTGTAATCCGATTAAAGTTACTTTTTCAAAGTAACTGTGCCATCACAGCTTACAGGTGATGAAAACATGACATTTAAATTGAAAATATTACATCACACCAATAAAAGCAACATTATACAACATAAATGAAAAGTATGTTTAATACCAACTTAAAGGACACTTTTAATCCATTTTATTGTATTTGCGTCGACTGTTTCCATGACTCATCATACATATGACGTTTTCACTGCAATGTAACACAAGGTTTGGTTTGCTTGATATATTTATCAGCATTAAGAGATTCCACCTTTTGATTTAGTGCAACCTGCTTTTCTCAAAGTCATTAAAAGAAAAAAGCTCAGTTTTGAATGGCGCCAGAAGCCAAACCTGCTCTGATTTTGTCTCTTTCAGGAACAGAAATTTCAGAATCAGTTTCCGTTAAATTCAATAGTTTGGCCTTGTCAGGGTTAGCGTGCTGGAGCTGCACTTCGCCATGCACCCATAACGTTGTGCTTTGTGGGTCATGAGCACAGTTGGTGCGGATGCATCCAGCATGTTAATCTCAGCAAAAGCTATTCTATTAAGACTAAGCACATATTGTAATTGAGGCTTTTAAATATTCCTAGGCGAAGGTAATTAGCCGCAGGGCATCTCTCTACTTTTGAATTTCATTAAAAGCACATACCTTAAGGCCATATTTAATCTTTTTTTAAAAAAAGATTTTCTTTTCACTTGTGTTCAGGCCTGCAGTGATCTTTGCGGCGTCTTGCTTGAGTGACGTTATTTTTACAACCTTAAGCATAATGAAGTACTTTTCCTTACTATGAACTCAGAGGGAGTGTAGCTTAAATGCTGACGATAAACTGCATAATTTTTGAACCGCTCCTGCAAACATAGTTTTATGGGGGATGAACCAAAACTGATGAATGCAGAGCAGCGGCGGCATGCTGCAAGTCTGCAGGCTTTTGAGAGAACCTGTTAATAAAATGAGTGGAAAAAAAGTGTGAAGAGCAAACAGATGTCATGTTTTATGTGTTTACCTGTAAAACAGTACAGCACGCGCTCATTGAAGAAAGCGTGTATTTCAGCTACAAAGCCTCTCCGTGTCCGTTGTAATTTGAAATAGAGGTGGCAGTAAAAATCACGATATTTTGTGATAACAGTAAAAATGACGATAAGAACTATTTATGATTTATTTTCAGTTAACTATTGCAACACAATAATAACCCCACAAATATGAATAGTGCTCTTGAAAAACATTTGCATTTGTAATTTCTTTCAATCAATCAATCAAGTTCCAATTGTTTAGCACCTTTCAGCAACAAAGCATTTCGAAGTGCTTTGCATCTTAAAAACACAAAAATACAAAGTCATAGGACACACAGTCAACATTACATTAGACATCGGAGTACACATTAATAGATTATTTATTAATGTTTCATGATGACGTCCGACACAAATAATGATCTGACCGGAACATGGTGCACTAAATCACAGAACATAATTTTACGAAGCTTCGAGGCAGATACATTTTCCTCGAGAAATTTTAAGAATGGCGGTTTTCGAATCATTCGAGGAATCATTTCAGTCCTAGCAGAACCGAGGAACTATAGCTCATCTACTTTCAATACCTCCACAGCTTGCAGATTATGTTTATAAGGTTTTAGTCCATAATGAAAAGTAATAACATTAGAAAGTTTCAAACTTCAGTGGCCACAAAAACTAATCACGTGCAAACGAAGCACTTTGCAAAGACACCTAATGTTTTTTTTTTCTTTAGGATTTGTTGTTTAGAAATGTTTGTCCTTTTCACCTCTTTGTTTGCATCACTTTGAGGAGCTCGGTCGCCCCTGACCTACAGGAAAAATCTCACCTTTTTCCGATCTGTTAAGGCAACACCACGAAGAACAACTGGAATGGAAAAGTTCACGTCGGAAGAGTTACCATTAGCGCTGATTGCATAGCCGGGGTGACAGCCGCGGGGGAAGTGAGCTGTAGAGAGCTGAGCTAGTTTTAACTACAGCTCTGAAAATTTCCAGGGAGGATCTGCAGGTGGGATCACAGAAATCTGCGACACTTGTTCCAGACTTTTCGTTGTATTTTTTCAGGCAGCTAAGCAGGAAGATTTTTCATGTGAATACATAACACACCAAAAAATCTGAAGAGCTCACCACAGATGTGTGTGTGTGCGCTTTTGTTGACCTATATATTTTATTGCGCTGTCTTTGCACAAAGACAAAAAAAAAAACATTACAGTCTCTTCAAATTTTGCAGCACATCTAAAATCATCCATCCATGTTTAGATCAGATTAATTCCTGTCGAATTAATCTGTTCAACATGATTGAATGTAATTTGCAAGTTTGGAAAACTTTATAATTCTGACATGAAAATAGGATTCATATCAAAAGAAGCAAACATTTTCTCACTCCATAGTGAGAGTTTTAGCTTCTCGTCACCAGCTCAAACTCCAGTGAGTGGATTGTTTCCGTTCAGTTCAGTTCATTCAGACAGCAGCATGTCACAGCGATAACCTCAAAGTATATTAAGACACAGTAAACATTTTGCCTGAGTTCTGTTCGTCTCAGCCACCAGGCTATAGAAATGATCCTCGTGCATTATCAGCACTTTTCTGCAGATTAGCTGAGGGGCTCGGTCAGACATCATCGCTCATATATACTCATAAAGCGAGGGGGGGGAAAAAATCATATTTTTTCAGTTATATAACCTGATATTTACAGCATGCATGCTCCATCATTTACTGGGAATTCAGCAGAGTATCTGTACAGATACAGCAATGGTTTCTGCCGTTGGTTGCTGCTTTTTTCTCCTTTATTCTCTGACAAGCTCCGTTTCTCTCTGTCTCTTCAAAGGGTTGGATGGAGAGCTGGTCGAATGTCAGCGGGAACTGTCGTGATAACCGGAGGAATTCTTGCTGGGGTGATACTGCTGTGCATCGTAGCAGTTCTCTGTTACTGTAGACTCCAGGTATCTAAGAGTTGCACAGAAATTCATCTCTCTCACTTTTTAAAAACAAAGAAAATATTTAAACTATTCTTAAGTTGTTGTTTTTTATTAAATAAAACTTCTTGGGGAGTCTTTTGTACCTGTAAAATGTTTGCACTGATAAAAAAAAAACTGTGAATGTCAGGAAATATTTTTTCTTCCTTGTTCAAAAGCAAACAGTTAAAAGTCACCTTGAGCAACATATAGATAAATTTGCATAGTTATGTAAAAACTCTGAAAATAAAACCTTGTTTTGTTGCAGCGACGTAACGTAACATTGAAAATATAAGATGAAGGACAACTTTTGATTTAAATACCTGTATTCAATTTTGGGCTAAGACTCAACAAAGACATATTTTACATTTTCTGGCATTTTGAACAACCTATAATAACCTTGTTGCTCCCAAACAAGGTTCCTAACAGATGCTCTGCTGAGGGACAACATGCTTTTTGTTCTGCCCATTTATTATTATTCCACATTGTTTGTAGTTGTGTTGTTTCATGCGTTCGTCATGCCCACGATTCATAAATTTATACCTGCAGGAGATTTAAGCCTTAATGGGGCTGGCGATAAGCTGTTAATAGTTAAACGGCTATCAGCCCTCGTGTTGTTTGGCATGTTTAGTACTTTGCTGTTGTGGAAACAGGAGCTTTGCTGACAGTTTTATGCTCCTCATAAATATCACTGCCGGTCTCTCAGAGGCTCCAACATGTTTGTGGAGCGAATCGGCTTCCCAGCCGCCGCTAGCAAACGCGAGGGCGACCAGCTCTGGAGCTCGTCAACGTCCGTCTGCCTTTCCTGGTTGTCTCAAAGAGACGGCGTGTTTTCACACAAACTTGCCACTTTACAACAAGAGTCTAGTCTTCCAGCACCAACTCACTGTTTTCTTTTCCAATCTCCAGGTAAGATGCCAAGTTTTGTGGGAAGGTGAAAGTGACCTGAAATCCCTTATAATCAATGATTTAGACATTTTAATTACTATGACAGGCCCAACATATTTTAAATAACATACACTGGTTTACTTGCTTGGTTTTCTTGTTCCCTAAAAATAAACCTTAGATTATTATCTATCATATAGATTATTATCTATATGTCATGTGCAAAGTTGCTAGGGGTGAATTTGTTAGTTTTATTTTCTCAGTGAATAAATGTACAAGGTGAATTTTTCACTATTTTTCAGTGTGCGATTGTTACTACAGTAAAAGATTAGGTTTTTCTTTGTTTTGTTTTTTTAAGCTTTTTTGGTGTCCTAACCAGATGTATCAACAGTAAACCCGGCACAGAAATGTATTTTTTAATTTTACACGAGCCTTTTGATGTGTTTGTGCGTCGTGATTTGCATTCAACACTAAATGAGGAAAAGTGGAAAAAGTGGGATTATTACAATAAATGCCTTTACTAAAAATCTTAAATGATTACATTCATGTTTTCTTCAACGCACAAGCTTATCTTCTCGAAGATAATCTCTGAATGAACATCAATGAGCTCATTTCTGTGCCGCTTTTTCTTCAATACAGCTGAGCCTCGTTGCATAAAACAACGAGGAAAATGTCTGACCAGCATGTTGTCTCTCTCTCTCCCTCTTTCTCTCTCCTGTTCTCTCCCTCGCTCTGTTTACCTGTGCCAGTATTACTGCTGTAAGAAGAATGAGTCTGAGGCGGACATGGGCTCGGTGGCGGGAGCAGATCCTCTGTCTCACTTCCCCTGCAACGCCTGCAACGCCCTGGCCATGGACGGGACCGACATCACGCCCGTCTCCCTGGACCAGCTGGACTCGGGTTCGCACCACAGCCCCTGCCCCTCGTGTTCGCCGTACCCCGTCCGCTCTGGACTCACAGACGACATGCGTAACGGAGGGGAGCGGCTGGGCTTCTACTACGAAAACCCGTCAGCGTCTCTTCTTTTGCCCGTCAACCCCCAGGCTTCGTCCCCTCTGAGCTACTACGACCCCATGGACGCATTCCCTCCCCCGCCGCGCCCCTACAGCACCGACGTCTGACTCTCTCCTCACTGGACTCTTCTTCACACACATTTACATCAACACACTTAACTTCACTTGCACAAGCCATTTAGAACAAAAATGTAAATTTATTAAAACACGGCACAATTACACCTAGATTATTGCACATTCTGACTTTAGTCACAGTCACCCACAGACTCAGCCCACTGACAGAGCTCCCGTGTGGGCAGCTCACAAACGCTCCAGCAAGAATTTATTTTCCTCTCCTATAAAAATCAGACTGTTCTTCCACAGCTATGAGGCTATATCACCGGTGACTGGATCAGAGGCAAGACCACTGCACCAGTAAGGATAAACACGTTTCCAGATTACGAAATCCAAGGATTCGTAATCTGCATATACAGTAAAAATTCAACCAACATATACATCATTTGTTTGAAGGTTTATTGTTTCCTTTTAGTGTGCTGCTGCTAGTCTGAAGGAGCTGAGTGGTGGAGCAATGGGGGAGGCAGAAGTTTGGCTTGGAGACTGCAGCCTCGAGGAGGAGCGGCGTGGAAAAGGTGGCGCTCGGCGAGAGCGTTCGCTCCAGCTCCTCTGAATGGTTTCCACTGCAGATTAAAGGATTCCTCAAACATGCATGAAACAATCAAAGCAACACTTTGAGGGAATAACATTATAACATGATGGCAAAGCTCAAAAAAAGAAGCCAATTTTACATAATAGCCACCTTTTAAAATAAAACAACATGGCTTGCCAAACCTCTCTCAGTCTAGATTAAAGTCACTTTTTAGAAAATATTCTACATGACCAGTAATCTCTGCTTAGAGCTGAAAAACATGGGCTTCCCCTGCTACTAGAGGTGTATGTGCATCATCATCATTGCGCCGTTTGCAGAAACCTTCTGCACGGGAGCCATATTTGTGGTTTATGAATGACGTTGCACCAAATTTGTGTAAATAAGGTTGCTTAAGATCGTCGTTAGATCTGATGCGTCACTCTTCTTCTCTCAAACTGAAAGCATGAAGAGTCAAGGAAATTCCTGACTCTCAGTTCAAGCTTAAGTGACTGATGGATTTTTTTTTTTTTTAACCTCTCACATCAGCAGGAAGTCACATGGGAACCGAGAGTTAAAATCTGATTAGCAATGAAGGCACATGATGGATCTGTGTTCATGTTGCTTCACCATATAAAGGAGTTTCCTCCACATCGGCTCAGTTTCTGTTTCTCTTTCTCTTTCCGGATGTTAACTCAGACACTCAGAGTGTCTGAGTTAACGCCCCCTCAGCCTTTCAGCCGACTGTACATGAGGGCTAACAGTTTTCTACGAGGCGTAGTCGTTTGCCAGTAATAGAAACTCACCGTGGAGTTTTGTCCAGAGGTGAAACAGGGAACGGGAAGGGGACTTTTTATGCAATTTTGTGCATCTTGCAGTTTTTTTTGTTTTTTGTTTTTTTCAATCTCACATGTGTTTTAGTTGTGATCTCTATTCTGGTAAATGTAAAGAGGCCGGACTATTAAAATGAAAATGGTTTGTTTCGTGGTGTAAAAGCTGGTGGTGCTGTGAGTCAGACGAAAGATAACCGACAGTCCATTATTTTATTTTATTTTTCAAAGTGAAAACGTGATTTAAAAAAATCCAACAGAAAGTAAGATTGTGTACTATATTTTAGTGATTTAAAAAAAAAAAGCCATCCTGTCTGCCACGGTACAGTAACAAGATGCAGTGTTATTTCACAATATAAGCCTGAATTGATACATATTTTTGTGAAACTTCTGGTGAATGTCATTGTTGGTTTATTATTTCCTACTCTTCTATTTAATGTTCTCTTTGTATTTTGTTCCTGTCAGAAAAATGCGGCACTTTAAGTAGGAACAGGAAATGAATATTTAGAGAAAATTATGCTAAAAGTTGTGCTCAGATAAACAAATATACTACTGCTGAGACTTCGATTTAAGAAACGGTATTTTGTCACAAACGAGTGATTTGCACAAGTGTTCGCAGTCCGTCAACATCTTCACTTTTTGTTACAACTTTCCTGTCAGTTTTGGGGTTTCATGCCGTAGACCAACACAAAGAACATCCGAGTTGTGAAGTGAACGAAAGGGGGGCGAAAAAAACAATTAAAAATGTGAGAAACGTCACATGCATTTTTCATATCCACCCCGAGCCACTTCAATTGTTCCTTTAAAGAAAATATCTACCAGTTTTATTCTTCCAAGCTTTTTCAGGGTTTTTCCTGGCCATCTTTTTAAATTGCAAAATAAATCCAGTTCTGTCAAATTAGGTCGATGACATCAGTCACACCCAAAGATTCTCATTTGGATTTAGGTTTCAGACTTTGACTAGGTCATTCTAACACGTGATTTTTCTTTCATCCATTTAGCTCTGACTGTGTTCAGGGCCTTTATCCAGGCGGAAGGTGAAACCTCTTCTCCAGTTTCAAGTGTTTTGGAGGGTCGCCTCCTGTTTAGCGCCATTCATTTCCTGATCGACTCTGAGCAGGCACCACCCCCCAGCATGATGCTGCCGCCACCATGTTTCTCTGCTGGGTTTCTTCCACACAGACTCCACGTCAGAGTAGCAGAGTAAAGGGGAATGAATGCATTTGTCTTTGTAAAACACTTGCGTTTGTCTGCTGCACAAAACCTCAACAAACTGCAAATGCGAAGAATTTCCATGTGAAAATGCGTTTTTCTCTTTAAGGTTGTCGACGCAGAGCTTTGCCTCATCAATTTGCTGTTTCAAATGCGCTTTTGTGTTTCCACGATGAAGCACAATGTCATTCCCTTTCTCTGGCAGATGCAGCTGTGTGCTTTTGTTCATCGTTTTGCTCTTATTTTCAGATTTCTCTGATTTCTTTTCAGCGGTATTGAAGGGTTATCTTTCGGCGCACCCTGTTAGAGTGAGAAAATGCATCACCTGTTCACACCTTTCTATTATTATTATCATTGTTATTTCGAGGAGAAAATAAATGTTTATATGTCTCCCTTGGCTTTTTGTGTGCGCATGTATGTGCATCTTTTCCTACTGTGACTCAGAGGGACAAGACACACTGAAACACAGATATATATTTACATGCACAACAAATTGACCACAAAGGGATAAACATGTGAAACCCCCCCCCCCCCCTCAGTAAACTCAAACACAGAAGTGAAAATCAACAAGAGAAGTGAGACTTGGGGGACAGAAACAGTGGCTTTCTCCTGGAGAGAAATGACAGACTTCACAGTCAAATGGCGAGATTAAGAGAAACTCACGTTAAGGTGGGACTTTGGAGCATGCAGGATCAAAGTGGGGGCTGCGTGCAGGTGGAGCGGCGCAGCAGAGACTTCCCTGTTGTTCTGCGTTGGTATGCGTCGCCTCACCTGCCGGGCCTGTTTGCTCTCCGGTCTGGTTGCTCAGCCCATGACAATAATAGAGCCACCGCACCAACACCCCCTGGGAAAAATATCACAGATGCCACATCATTTACTTCTTACACGCACGGCGGGTTTGACTTGACAAGTCTAGCAGGTTCACACGGCATCATGTCAGAGTGTGAATAAAAGGGGAAGGAGGGGAAACTAAGTGCATGTGAAAAAAAACTATTATTTTTTTTCCTCCTTATCCCTATATGAATGCTTTTTAAACCATTTAACTGGGCTAAATGGACATTTGCAGGTCGTAAACAGCTGGGATTTGTGCGTCAGAGAAGAGGACAGATGAGATAAGAAATGTAAACACAATGGTGGGTGTGTCCAAGGCTGTCTTTCCTTTCACACACTCTCAGGTCATATATAAACCCTGCTGAACTTGGTGCTGCCCACACACACTGTGACACACCTGCGCACTTGACCTGTCTGGTGTTGCTGTGTGAAGATTTCTCACATTTGGACTGCAAACAAAGTTTCTTTCCTTCCGGGAATCGTGGACTTCAACCTCACCTCTGGCCTATTAAGAGGCCAGAGGTGAGTCTTCAGAGCAAAATAAAAACTACGGGGTGAGAATTGTTCTGAACTTGCTTCACATCTCGAGTCTCTCCTGCGTCCGCAGGTGGACGTTCTTGGCTTTTAGGGTTTTGAACCGGGGGGGGCTTTTCGCAGAAGCGTTGTGACTGTTGGGGTCAGTTTGGGCGGGAGACGGCCGGGCCGACGGAAATCCGGGCGCGATGATGCAGGAGGTGTCCATGGTGACGGCCTGCGATGCCAACGCCATAGAGCAGATGAGTGAAGAGGAGATCCTCGCCTGTCTGGTTGCTGACACGGGGCCTACGTTCAACGTAAGATTAATTCACTCCGGATTATTTTTATTGTGGTGTTAATGCATGAAAATGCACGTTGGTTAACAGGACAGGTTGTTCCTCTCTTGCAGGTTTTAAATAGTTTCATTCACTGGAATATTTTCACTCTCCCGGGGTTTTTATTTTGCCTGGACTTGATCGCTTTCTGACGTGACTAATCAAGATTTCTGTCTCTCTGAGTCATTTAATATCAAGTATTTATTGATATGTTTCTCAATCCAACATCTGCATTGTTCACGTCACAGGCCTGGGGATTACATCACCCAAACACAATAAGAGTTAACAATGGTGGTTTTAATGAAACTTTTGTTCTGTCTCTATTTTTATACACACAACTGCATTTGGGAGCTCTGCCTACCGATTTGACTGAATGTGACGTCAGCCCACAGAAATGACATTGTTTCCTTGACCTGCTCAAACATTTATGCATAAACTGAAAAACATTCGTAGATGAAGCTTTCCCGTGAATTATTTAACTAATATTAAGTTACATGACCACTTTTATGTTACACCTGTGTTACATGTCGACCCAAGTCTGCAACCTATTAAAATCCTTGGACCGGGTTCCTGCCGGGTTTGGACGTCTGGTTTTGTTGTGTCAGCCACTTCAGTGCATTTTCCTAAAAGGCAATATGGCATCTTTACGTGTAACGATTTATTCCATCTGATTCAATCAGTCCTGGCATGTGATCGATAGGCATTATTCTGCAACACAGGAAAAAAAATCTCCATACCATCATACATGAGCCGCCGTGCGAGTTACTGTGTTGGATTCTCACAGTAACTGAGGAACCTGTCTGATCACTCCGGACCCTCTCTGACCTGCCATTGGCTAAATCTCTTGCCATTTTTCTTTCGATCTGTTTGGATCTTCATCCATTTCTTTCTGCATTTGCGTCTCCCCTTGAGGTCCACATCCTCAAAACTGCTGAGGCTGATCCAAGCACTTCTACCTATTTTGCATCTTGAGGTTTTAATATGCAAACCAAACTAACAGTTTGATAAATACCAACCACATTATGCTTAAATCAAACATAAAAACAAACAAGCTTGCAGTGGCTTTCTCTGCTCCAGCATCTTTGGAGAAACTAGCATTAACACTCATGTAATACGTAACCTGCTATTTTTTTAACTTTTTTTTTCATATCTGCTTTTACTACTTAGACTCCTGATTGTAAGAGTTAAGATAAGTTAAGCACAGATATTTTTTAGCTATTAAGTTCCTAAACAAAGTCCTGCTTTTCTGTTTTGAACCTGTTGTTTCGTTTTGGATGACAGGCAATGCCTCTGATCCACTGTTTCACTTTGAAGAGGACAGATCACGTTTATGCAGAGCGCTTCAGTTTACTTTGTCTCTGTGCATTCCTCACGTGAGCCGCTGCTGACTGCCCATGACAAAGCACAAAGCCCGACGCCAAACATAATTCTTGCACAAGTAAGATTTCTGATTCGCGACACCCCGAAAAGATCTTGGATTCGCTGTTTTAGGTATTTAAGATGTGAAAATCTATTTCATGCTTTGCCTTAAGCCCCTTCCGTCCTCCATAATTCCCCAGATGCGCTGTAGATTACCATGTCCCCCATGTACTCGGCTTTATCTTATCTTTGATTTGTCCTTGTTTGGATCTCGTTCTGAGGCCTGTTCTTGATTTGTCAAGCTCATCCTACATCCTACGAAGCTCTTTATGGGAGAGATGGATTTCTCCATCTCATCCAAACGTGGCAGGTTTTCCACATTAACAAGACGTGTCTCTTTTTTCCCCCTTCTTCTTCTTCCAAGGTCCCCACGAAGAAAGTGAAACTCGGGGAAAGTCGGCTTCAGATCATGGACGATGACCCTGTGGACAAATACTTGGTCAGAACCGACTCCTGTCCTCTATTTTATTTTATTTTTTTCTGAAATTATATAATTTTCTCTCTTCAGCTGCAGAAACTCAATGTTTAGTTTTTTTTTTCTTCCCTGCAATTTGCAGAAAGAAAACCGGCGGCTCCAGCAGGCCAGCCTTCGCCTGGAGCAGGAAAACGATAGCTTGGCCCACAGACTAATCACCAGCAAGGTTGCTTTGAGGAATTGTCTAAACGAGGTACTATTGCAAGATCAAACCAAGAAAGGCAAAGGTTTTGCATTTCAGGACCTCATTTACGTCACATCTTAGTGGGACACAGTGGATTCTGCCAGCTGTCTGAAATGCAGCCCGACCGTATTTACAATAGCAGTCAGAAGATTGAGGTTTGTCCAGGAACAGCCACAGCTTTCCGTGTATTTTGTTTCTACAAGATAGATCAACTTATAGCAAACTGGGTTTTCTTACACAACTTTCCTGTATCGAGCTTCATCAACCTTTTCACCACTTTTCCTTTCTCAGCATGATTCTACCACCACCATGTTGCTCAGTGGAAAGCAGTGCGTCTTAATGCTGGGTTTGTACCCTGACGTTTTGGGTCAGGGTACAAACACAGAGCACCTTCTTCCACATGTGTCAAAACTGCATTTTGAAGGGGAATGAATGCCTGCAAAGTGTGAAGGAGTAAAGGGGATACTTTTACAAGGCATCGCAAACATAATGACACAAGCTTGTAACAGTGAGGATCTGAGTGTGTTTTCATGTTTTCCAGGCAGAAGACAGAGTAGATGAGCTAACCAAAGACCTTCTTAAGATCCAACATCGACTGCAGGCAACTGAAGATGAGAAAAGAGGCAAAGAGGAAGAAGCTGCCATGGTGATACGATTTTTTTTTTGTTGTTTTTTTTTGAAGAAAGTCTAAAATTATTGCAGGCTGTTGTAAGAAAGAAAAGTATATATATATATTTTTATATATATATTTTGTGTGTGTGTGTGTGTGTGTGTGCGTGTGCGTGGGGGTGTGCGTGTGTGTGTGCGTGTGTGTGTGTGTGTGTGTGTGTGTGTAGCTGAAGGAAGTGTTTCGGAGAGAGCTGGAGAGGGCCGAGCAGGAGATTAAAAAGTCGTCCGGTATCATCTCCGACTACAAACAGGTACCGGCAATTGATGACGCTGTTTGTGCAACCAGAGTGTCCTTCAGCGTTCTCACAGATGTACGTAGGTGTGATGGGAAGAGGTTTCGTTTGATGAAGTCGAAACGAGATGCTTTGTCTCTCAGATCTGCTCTCAGCTGACGTCTCGTCTGGAGAGGCAGGAAGCCGCCCACAGAGAGGAGTTGGATGCACTCAAGGTGAGTGCTCCACTCTTGCTGCAGATGTCTGCTTTTTATGTTATTTTCATGTTACACTCATACTTTATTTATTTATATTTTTTGGTGTACAATCTTTTTCTTTCTAATTGTCAATCTTCTAGAGCAAAGTAGAGACTTGCTCCCAGTGTCGACACGTTGCAGAATCCATCCCCGCAGGTCACAGCGCAGACACGCCGGTGCGAGTGGAGACCCAACCGGGCGGGCAGGAGTCCGACGAAAGCCCCCGACAGGAAGACGGGAACAGGAAGGACCAGGAGAAGGAGTGTCTGAAGGCCCAGATCAGAGAGCTGGAGAAGGAGCTGGCCCAGACCAAGCTGCAGGTGGTGGAGGCCAACTGCAAGATCCAGGTAAATCTGACGGTCTGAGTGTCTGGACATGTGCAGACCGGCCAAGAGACGTCAAGATTTTAATAAGGATTAAAACTTTAAGGCGTTATCTGCCATTAGTACACATATTGAGGTTGTTCAAAACATGGAGTATCACCCTTCCCCATTTGTAGTTTCAGCCTGCTGAAACATAATTCTCGATTTACATTAACGAGGGGACAGTGTTACGTAAAGCAGATTTTCTTTTAGCTTTATAATCAAGTTATAATGTTTCTTCTCTCACAGAGTGTACCCTCCCCCACTCAGCACCTCCAATGTTAGATTTCAGGGATTCCCCCCAGCATACCTTAAGCCTGGCGGGCCACCAGGCTTTACCTGTTCCCCCACCAGGCCTAACATTGCTCATGTTTTTTTAAGTCTCTTTAAAAAGGTTTGCATTTTTTAAGACTTTATAATTAGTGTTCAGGTATTAATCTTCCAATATTTCAATAACACATAATTATCAAGTGATGTTTTCAAATTTCTTGTCCACTTTAAATATTTTTTAACTCAAAGACTCAACGGGCTGCTGGATGAATGACCGTCCTAGTGACCAACCACCAGCCTGGGCAGGTTTCCTTGGGGAAACCTTAGATTTCTCTTATTTCATGTTTGATATATATATCAAACATAAGTTTCTATACATAGAAAAAATAAACATTTTATATTGTTTTTATGTTTGGGGGATTCTGTGTAATCGCTGCACATCTTGGATTATTTCTTGTTTGATCTGCAGCATTTCCAGTTTTCTGAAACTTGCAAATAAGTTCCGCCACAGTATCGTGTGTGATGCTCGTTCCATGTTTTCCGTTAAAGCTTCGTTAAACCATGCGACCGCTTCCCGACCCAGCCATCAGTATCATTTCAGTTCTTTGCTCTTTTGTCAAATGCATTAAAAGCCTCTTTTAATGCCAATTACAGAGATTTTTACACCGATCACAGTACAAAACCCCAACAGGGTTTCTGAAATGCAACTGGAAGAAGTGGAAATTTCTTGAAATCCTGTCCAGTTCCTCTGTCTCAAAACTGCTCTTGTTTCGTCATGTTGGCCATGAGACGGTGACATTTGGGCATTCCTGTGTTTCCACACTGACACTTCTTCCACATTTCCACTCCGCCGATAGAAACACAAAAGTTTCTGCTGATAGAGAACTCATGCTGGAAGGCGGACGCCTAGTTTGGATTCTTGTCAGTGATATTCACCTTATCTGCTGTAGGAAGATGACAAAGTGCAGAGAAGCGGGAGGCTAACAGCTTGTCAGAGGGTTAATGTACCATAACAGTCTCATAAAGTCACAAAAGGTCACACAATCACTTTACACAGCAAAATAAACAGTCAGGGTCAAAACTACGACCTGTAATGTAAGCAAACATAATGAAAGAAAGCCTTTAGATGCAAACACAAAGAAAAGTGACTGTATAATCTGAAATAGAGGTTTAGTCTTTTGATGGTGTTGCAGCAAGAAAACCAAGAGAGGAAGTTGAGGCAGTTTCACCTTGGTCAGGGTTTGAGCCAGAAATCCTGACATTGCCAAAGTTGAAGTACAGTAACTGTGTCTAATTTCCAGGAATAATTTTCACAATTTTCCAGGAAATTATTTCATTTCCAGGAATCAAAGTATGCTTTTTACAGAAAGCATATCCTGTGTTGTTGTCACAAGTGTCAATTAGCTAAAAACTAGTACAAAGTTGAACACTTTGTGAATAATATACAGTATATGTTAGAAGTGTTTTAACAATACTGATGTTAAAACATTATTGTTGTTTTCTTTCCATTATTTTGGGGTCTGCATCTTTTTCATTACTTTGACCATTTCTCATTTTCTGCAAATACACAAAAGATTTTTGCTTGGAATTTCAGAGACGTGTTGTCAGTGGTTCATGGAATAGAAAAACAACGTTCATTTTACTCAAACATATACCCTATAAAAAGTCAAATCAGAGACTTTTTCCCCATTTGAAGTGAGATCTTAATTTTTCTCCAGAGCTGCAGATTTGTAAATTTGGTTTTGACCAACTTCTTTTTTCTGAACAGTCACCTGCATTTCCATTGTGCTTTGTACCCATCTTCTCTCGTTAGGAGCTGGAGCATCAGCAGGGAGTCCTGGCCAACGATCTCCAGGAAGCAAAACACAACTGGATCAGCAAGGCCTTGACGTCGCTGCGGACCTCCGCGGGGGGACACCACAGCGTCGGCGTGCACAGAGAGGGCCTCCCCACCCTGAACTGGAACCTCCACAGCTCCTCCCTCTCAGGATGGATTCCTAAGAAGATGTCATGGTCTCACAAAGACAACACAGAAAACGTCTGAATGGCTGGACCGCGTGTGTGTGCCGGCGACATTCATCAGGAGTCGAGATGACAAACGCACAAACACGGACAGAGAGGTACCTGGGAGTACAGGCGATGATGTCACAGAGACTTTCCATCATTTTAAATCTGCCATAACTTGTGAATATTTGCATATTTTCTTCATCTAATGTCAAATACATCTTGAACTGTAAGAAAAAAAAAACATTCAATAAAATTCTTGTGAGCTTCTTACTGTTTGTGACGTAATGAAACATTACGTCTTTAGTGGTTCTTTCCTGAGATAAGCCGCAGTCTTTGAGCTGGTTCCGCTTTCCTTTCCTCAGTCATATTAAAAGCGGCGACAAGCTGAAGCAGAACAAAGACAAGCTCCTGCTTCAGCAGAGAGAGAGAGAAAGAAAATTCACTGGCGAGGCAGAATTATCTCTGTTTTCTCCACATTGGGCTGAGGAGAACAGCAGAACATAAAACTACCAGCATAAAGGCAGTAATTCATATTTATTCAACTATTTAGACAAAAACTGTGGATATGTTGATGGCTGGGACTGTGTGTGTCGCAACTATCATCCTCATTTTTGGTGCTGGGAGTCAAGCTCTGGATCTCCTCAAAGCATCTTCCGTTTCAGGAGGTGAGTCTGGATTTGACGGATAAAATGTTGTCACAAAGGGTCACCCTAGAAACATTGTTATTTCTCTGTGGGTTAGGATTAAGAAATGTCTCATGGGTCTTTGTGTTGATATTGTTTTGATACTGTGATTATGCTGTTTAAGTATTTGAACCGTTTATGTTTTTAACAGCGTATGTGGCACTCACAATGCCACAGCTTTAATCTCCCATGGCACCTTGTCTTCCTACAATACAAGAGTAAAAAAAAAATCACTATGATCTTAACTACTGAAAAGCAAGTATTTCAGTAAGAACTGTTTTTTTTTTAGATCAGATATCTCATAAAGACAAAAACCTAAAAACAGATTGTATTAGCGATGTAGATTGTGTGCCAAAATTTATGATCAATATGTCACTCTATGTATTTTAATACAAGCTGAGAAGTTATATTAACAATTAAACCAGTGCAGCTAAAAGAAATGTATTACCACACAATCACAAGACAAATCAAAGTAAATGTACCTCCACTTTGCTTTATGACCAATTCTTAATGTTCAGCAGATATAGAGTTAGCAAGTGCTAACTATGTAGTGGCTAAAGGGTTAATATTAAAAAAATGTTCTTTAGTGTGAACTAAAATGATTAAGGATTTCTTCTGTCATTATTATTATTCAGGGAAGCTCTCCATTCTATCACTTCCTATGTTGTAATTTTTAATGAACTTCAATCGGTTGACCACAAAATTAGGTCCTAATTTGTGACCCATCGTTTGCAAAAAACCACCAAATTTCTCTGCCCGCAGTGTAAAACCTGCCCAGCATCTGGATGAGAGGAATGATCTGCAGTTTTCTAGTTTGCACCTCATCAAATCATTGAAAATGTTCTTTGTCGTCTTGTTGTGGATTTTCTGCAAAGTGGCTTTGAGTCAAACAAAAACCCTTTCATGTGGCAACATCAGACAAACAGAAGGAGAAAGAAAAACAGAAACCATATCAGGGGGTTTGCTGATGACAAAGACTAAAACCTTTTCTTTTTTAACTGGTTCAGATTCTCCCTTCACTCCCGAAGTGCACTGCTGGTGTTCCAGCTACCCCAACATGACGTTTTGCTCCTGGCCGGAAGCAAAACGTCCAACGCAGTACATCGCCACCTACAGGTAGACAGCAAGCATGTTTTGGCTCTGAAAAATAAAAATAAAAAATAGCACAAATCCTCAGGTATATCGATGTTTCCTCCTGACAGCGAGCGAGACGGTGACTCTGACCCAAAGACGTGCCACCTGGACCCACCCGGCTCTTCACCCTCCGCTCTGACCACAGAACCTCTGCAGGTAGGAGCAGATAGGGGGGGTTTCCACGACAGACTAAATGAAACCCAAACAGACTTGTTCATCTGCAGAAAGCATTACATCCTACCACAGGATCACAGAGTTAAAATAATTGTCCAAAAAGTTCCAGAGTCAAAAAATAAAAAATAAAAATAATCCCTCATCAGATTTTTGATTAAAAGTTTTGGAAATTCTGAGGGTCCATAAAACAAATGGAAGCCAGTGTTAGAGTGACCAGCATAAAACTACGATTCAGTTTAAAAGTCAGATAAGAAAAGAGTTGAAAAGGTTTGTGGATCAAGGCTGCTAACAGTCGTTAGCTCTGTCAGGAGGAATGGGCCAAAATCACAGAAAACTGCGTGGAGGATGATTTTGACCGATTCCCAAAAATGTTTTACCCAGCTTATGTAGTTTAAAAAGCAATTCTGACAAATGCATATATGTATATATATGTCTGCATCAAATCGTCACAGTTCCTAAATATATTCCTTTCTTTCTTTTTCTTCTTTTGCAGCTCTGGCACTGTCACTTGCCCAACCTGAAACTTCTCACTGAATACATTCTCAACATCACAGCGGTTCATTCCGGGGGAAGCAGCTTTCATCTCACAAGTTTCATGCTGGAGGACATTGGTGAGGGGGAACATTTTCGCAGGGTGTGACAAGTTTATGTTCTTTCTGAAGAGAAAGATGAAGCAGAAAACTTTCCGCCGTATTTGGGTCAGACCGTGAAACAGGACATCGTTATCTATCATCCACGAGATTTCAAGACTCGTCTCTCTCCACAGTGAAACCAGATCCTCCTGTCGATGTCCGGGTTTCCCCTCTCACTACCAAAAACCTGCTGGTGGAGTGGTCTCCTCCTCCCACCTGGACGAGCACGGACATCTTCCCTCTGAAGTACCAGATACTGTACCAGTGGGAAATCAGGGGCAGCCCAAAGTTTATCAACGTAAGGGGAGGGTAGAGGGGGGAGTGACACATCATCATCACCACATGCTGGGTAAAAGACAGCAACATGTAGACGCATGTCTTCTGTGGAAGGTGAAGTTCCACAGAGCTTCTAAATTTCCCTTCGTTTCCAAAATCCGCAGACTTGCTCGGTTTTGTAATCGTTTCAACATAAAAACCTGTGGCTGGAATAGTTTCACAGCCATCTTGAGGAGATAAAAATAGGAAGTTGTAGTTTTGTCTGTATTTTGTGAATAACTACTCTACTTTTCCTCTTTTCTCAACCACTGAATGCACACACTTATTTACGTTTTGAAAACCCCACCAAATAGATACTTATGTAAAATGTCAGCACATTAAAAACGGCTTGGGACAGAAGTTAAATACATTTTTGGCTTATAAAGCTGATTCCGCTACGTTTAAAACAAATTACTAATCAGTTCAGTTATGTCCTCAACTCTTAAAAGTTAACACAATGCGGCACAACAAATTTATTTACCAGAAAACATAAATAAACAAGAAAAGGGGAAGGATGTGGACTGAACTCCATTAGCTTATAGCAACAGACATCTAATAATTCGGTTATTAACTAACTTGGTGACTTTTAGTTTTTAGTTTATTTAGTTTATTATATGAAGAAAAAGACCAAAATGATTGCCCACAATTGTGTCACTGGTGATTTTATGAGTTATTTAGTGTGATTTTTCACATTTTCTGGAAATCCCATTCCAGACAATTTGTTGATTTCTTTTTTTTCCCCGTTTTGCCATAAACAGTTCGTCTTCCGGCAGTATGGATCTGGAATGAAGACTATTGCTGCTCAGCTACATTGTCTTCATTTCATAAAATAATGTCGTAGAATCATAACAAACCTAAATCAGACATTCATAAGTCCTTGAAGGAATAATAAAACCCATCTTAATGCACTAGATCGGCATTAAACCATCCAAGACTAATTCTTCAGAGTTAGAACGAATCAAAGAAAAAGCGAACACTTGCGTATTTCGACAGGGGAGTGGTCTAGTCAAATCATCACATATAAAAAATAAAAAGACTGAAGCACTAAGTTGAGTCTGCCTCAGTGAGAAAGTCCCAATTTTTCTGCAGACAGAAACATCAGTGTTGCCGCAGAGTCATGCTTCTCCTGTACAAAAGCAGTTTCAGTTTCGTATTCTTGAAGCGTGATTGTGCACATACACAGACATGCAGATCCGTGTAAGACGTGTTTGTTTGAGCAACATAACAAGACCACATGTAGTACTGCAGAGCAATAGCTTGAGTTTATCTGACACTTTTTGACTGACTTGTTCTTTTTCCTCAGCTGGGTCCGTTTGAGAACACCAAGGCCGAGCTGAAGGGGCTGATCCCAGGCAGGACCTACCAGTTCCAGGTGTGCGCTAAGGAAATCCTGGGCCTGGGGCAGTGCAGCGACTGGAGTTCCCCTATAAAAATCACAACACCGACAACAAAACTATAGGAACTTTCCCTGGCTTTCATTTTCATGCAGGCAGATTGCTGCAAACTGACATGCAAGAAAATATTCTGTTCTTTATTTATGACCAGAGCTGTAGAAACAACGCAACTGAGAGTTGTTGATGTTCCGTTTTATTTATGCTAAAATGTATTAATAATATTAATAATATTTGTACAGTGCAGAAACCCCATTTATTTTTGTATCTTTTTACAGCTGTTTCATTGCTTGAACTGAGAAGGGAACGTTTGAATAAAAACAAGATGTCACAAAGTATTTTCAGTCAATCGGCCACATGCACCACCAGCGGGGTAACAAACTCAGAGTGCCTGATGCCCATGCTGAAGGACGGGGACTTGTGGAGATGCCCGTAGGTCTTCTCTGGGCTGTACGTTCCCGGACCCGGAGCAGCAGAGGAGTAGCTGAGCCTCTTGGTCCGGCGCTGCATGGTGAAGGAAGGCTGTCGCTGCCTGTAGACGTCCGGGTCGGTGCTTCCGTACTGCCCCGGTCCCGGTGTTTTGGAGAGATCCTCGGCTGTCCTCCGGCCTGAGAAGCTGTAGCTGGCGCTGGCAGGTTTGTGGGGGACTTGCGGACCCAGCAGTCCAGGAAGAGTGTAGCTGGTGGATTTGAAACAAAGTTATTCAGGTTGAGAGAAACACGACGCTTGATTTTGAATGATAAGGTTGTCGAGGGAAACTATTAACACTTTGTTGTTTGGAAAAATATTCCAAAGTGTTTCCTAATATTTGTCAGGAGATTACATTTAACACTTTTGGTTTGAGTCCAAGATGAATTTCTTGGTTTGGTGACTATTTTCTCATTAATATCAAAACCACAATCCTCCTCTAATCAGTTCAAACTGATGTTAAATGCAAAGCAGCTGTGTTATAGTTGGATATAAAAACTTTTCCCAAAACAATGTGCTTACATCGTCATCAATTGTGCATTTATTGGAATGAAACCATGTTTGAAATGAATAATGATTTATGCCAGCTGCTTGGTCTCAATGGAATAACTTAAAAGTCACTTGTGACCAAACCAGAAAGAAAAGAAACCTGATAATAATCCAGCTAAGGGAAGACAGAGGAGTGAGCTTTTGTTACCTCATAGCTGCCTCTGTGTTTTCTGCATGCTGCTCTCACCTGTTTGGCCCTGGAACAGGATCCGCAGAGCGGTACCGGGTCCGCTCGGCGATCGTGTAGGACGGGGGCCTGCGGTGAGCGTTCAGAGGAGGGGCCCGCTCTGGGCTGTAGGCCCCCGGACCCGGAGTCTGGAACGGCTCATCTGTGACGGGAAAGCTGTGTTTAGATGAGTCACTCAACAGAGAGAAAAAACAAAAACCGACTCAGAAGCTAAAGGATTTTAAAAGAAAATATTCACACCTCTTAAAGTATTTCACATTTTGCCTCTGATGTCATTGTATTTCACTAGGATCAAATTATGTGGGGATGTTTGTGAAGTGGAAGACAAGTTATACATAGTTTTCTTTTCTTTGTTTTTTGCAAACTTATTCCTGAAAAGTGTAGCATGGACTGACATTCTACTTCATTAGTAAAATCGCCTTTTGCTGCTATTAAAGCTGATTTGACTTTTCAGTTTTTCTACACCAGCTGTGTGCATCTAGTCTTTACAAAACAGCAGGATCTCTGTCAGAACATCTTTAGGGTGTCACTCAACATCAGTTGTCAAGTCTTGGGCTTGAGTGGCCCAGTCAAAGGCCAGACCTTTGACTGGGGCGACTCTCATACACTGATATGCTTTAATCTAAACCATTACAAGATCTAGGGGGTTTGCTGGTTCGGTGAACCTCTAGCACAGCATCGGGTATTTTGTGAGGATTTCTCTGTATTTAGGTCTGTCCTCTCATCCCCACAGCATGATGCTGCCACCGCCACATTTCGCAGCTTAGATAACGTCCTCAGGCTTGATCTGCAGTGTTTGTGTCTCATCACACAAAGTGTTTTGCATGTAGGCCAAAAACTTTCATTTTAGACTCGCCTTCCTGTCTGGTGGTGGACTTGAACTGGGACTTCTTCTTTCGTTCGATTTTAAATAACAGCTTTCTCCTTACCACTTTCCTTTTCAGTCACAAAGGACAGATTTGTTGTACAGCCTGACGGTTTTATGTCTTGAATTATCTCTGCAGCCGATCCAAAGTTACCAGAAGTCTCCTGTCTCCTTCTCTAGTTTACACTTTATCAGGTCACTTGAATGACACAACTTCCTATTGCTCAGCTGCTAAAAGCCACTTCCTCTTTCTGTTTCTTGAGGAAAAAGAGTGATTTGTCTGATGCTTTCCCGAGTCGCAGCCTTCCTTGATTTGTTTTCACCTCTCTTCCCGGTTCGTCTGCCTCTTCCTGACATGGAGTAGGACGGTGTCTCTGTCCGACCAAACCGGGTGAGCTTGCCCCCGATGTAGTACCTCGGTCCAGGGCTGGAGTCCACAGAGATCACTGGAAAATATAAAAGCGCTCCTTTCTCTCATTTTGCTGCAGTGGGTGTCACTGTAATAGATGCTTTTAAAACACTGGGGCATTAAATTACTAATTTTATCATTAAATATGTTGTTAAATTTTGCTTCCAGATAGATGTGCAGTCAGATTTAAGGCCCAAACTTACTGGCAGCGCTCATGCGGCCGTGGAAGGAGTATGCAGGGCTGCTGGGCTTGGTGAAGTCATGGTTAATGTATCCGACTGTAGGGGGCAGAGCGTAGCGCGCGGGGCCCGGTCCTGACAGGTGGGGTCGGGAGTAAAGGTGGAAGAGAAAAGACGAGAGAGGTGAAAATGATGCGACTGCCGCCTCCACGCCCGGCACGCTGTGGCCCCGGCTGCATTGCTGCTGATCGTTCCCATCTGGGGCCCTTTGACTTTTTTTTCTATGGTTATGCATTTTAACATTCTTCCTCTGTTGTTTTGGAAATGGATTCCAAACAACGTCAGAATCTCAAATCAGAAAAGGAGCAGTGACATCGTGATGCTGTGAAAGATTTCACGGCAAAACCCAGTTCGGCCCTAATACAACCCATGTGGATACAAACACACACATCCACACACCCACACACACACACACACACACACACACACACACACACACACACACACACACACATGCACACACACAGGCATATAGATCTCTCCAACTGACCTCTTTCCCTAGCGGAGATTATTGGTCGTTTCCTCACCACCTCCTCCATGCTCCTCCAGCCTCGTCCTCTTTATTTCTGGCGCTAGAAAGACACATCCTTTCCTTTTGCTCTCTTTCGAGGCGAGTCGCGGCCTCCCATGTTGAATTATTCATGACCTGGAGCGGAGGAAATCCTATCTTGACCGCAGGCTCGTAAGCGTCCGCAACTTGCTCTCCACACCTTCTTTTCTCCAAGGCTCTCACAGAACAAATGGTCGCCTCCACCGAGAGAAATATGAGGTTAATATCCAAAGAAATGAAAGAAAAAGAGATTTTCTGCATTTTGACACCTGACATCCAGGTTAGATGAGTGATTTTATACAGTAGAGGAGGAGAAAAATGACATTAATATTAGTTAATAAGGAAAAATATTGCATTCCAGATGCCCTCCTATCTGCAAATTATTCCCAAAATGGGAGCAAGTTTAACCCATTTTCTGTTGTCAAGCTTCATCCTCCCTGCTGAAGAAAAACTATCCCCACTGCATGACTCTGCTTGTGATAGTCATTTTTTTTACTTAAATCATTATTTAGTTATTATTAACTAAGTTACATTTAAAGGACATTGGTTGTTCCGGATTTTATTTAGCGGTGTCAGAGTAATAAAACATAACTGTCAGCTTTTTTGTCTTTTTTTTCATGTATCATTTTGCTTCTTCTTTACTGTCATGTATGATATCTTTTCTTTTCTGCCTCATAAAATCACATTAAAGCAGATCCAAAGTCTGTGTATATTTTTGCAAGACGTAAACAAAAAGCACGGCAGACGCAGAGGCTTGTAGAGAAAACATGGGAAGCAGGTTTGTCAAATCAAACTGAAAAAAGAATCATGCCAGTCACAAATATGCATTGCAACCCATAATGAATTATGTTTTCAATTCGCCCTATTAGAGTAAAGGACTTAAACTGTAATGAATACCTCCAGCTTCCCGTCCAGGTCTGGAATTTCAGGACAAATTTCAGAGGGAGAGAGAAGCTCGGCAAACCCTTCCTAAGGCTCAGAAATACAGATCAACTATTTGATTTAACACTACTACCCAGACACTACTACCCAGACAGAATTTATTTCTTTTTTGCAAGTGGCAGGACTAGATTAGCAAAAGTTTTCTTCCTAGAGGTCAGGAGTCACCGTCTGTCTGAAGCTGAAGCATTCAATTGACTTGGCGTCTTGTTTAGGTGGAGAATGGGGCCTCGCACGGCCACTTAGCGAATCGCCGCCTGACAGGAGATATGCAAAGGGGATTGAAAAATGAGCTTCAGGACATGAAGAAATTAGATTCCGCGGTGGGGACTCGGCGTTTGAGAAAGGTTAAGACACTTCGTCATACAGGAGGAGAGCTGCTTATCCTCCTTTGAGCAGGTGAAGTGGTGTGGGCTCATGGTCAGGACGCCTTCTGGATGTTCCCTTTGAGAGGATTACCCACCATTTCCCAGTGGAAGAAAATCCCTGGTCACACCAAGAGTGTGCAAGAGGGACTATAGAGACCTTCTGGTCTGGTCTGGTCTGGTCTGGTCTGGTCTGGTCTGGTCTGGTCTGGTCTGGTCTGGATGGATGAATGGATGGACGGACGTCACTGAAAGGTTATTCCTACTAAAATTTTAACATGTTTTGTTCTTGTAACCTGCTTTTGTTTAATACTTTCATTTAACTGTAAATATTGTACTGAATGTTCAATTTGCAGCACAGATAAATCGCTAAGAATCGACCTTTCACCTGCTGGAACATTTTTTCACTTCAAAATATCCTGGAAGTTTAAAAACAACTTATCACAGCAGGTGGCATTCAAGGATTTCCAACACATACAAAAGAGTTATGTGAGATTACCTCCCAGTAAGTAAAATTATCTTATTTTGCATATTTATAAATTCAGAAGTTTGTAAATAGTACATATTTGGTTAGAAGTTATAACCTAGGTTGATTTATATTTTAAAATCTTGAATGTCAACTCGTCTTTTTATTCAATAAAATTATATTGAAAAATAGTGTTTTATTTAAGGCTTGTTTTTAGCATCGATTTAATAGTGAAAATTCTTCGTTGTATGAATTGTAAAATGTATCGTTTCTTACAGTAATTAATAGCTCCTTTTGATTTTTGTCATAATTTCCAGGTGAATACAAACATCTTACATATACAGAAATATCCGTGGGAAAATAACCGATCAGATGAAAAATAATAGTAATAATAACAAAGAAGGTTCCACATGGTCTTACAAATGAATCATTTGTCAACGATAGCAGAGGAGCAACAAAACGGAGGAGGTTTTGGCAAAGACAGAGAGGTAAGTAATGCCCTGAGAGCGAGGCTGGCGTCAAGACAGCGCTTCATCCAGGTTAAAGTTGCAGGCAGCAGTAACCGAGTGGTCACAGAGGCAGTAACACGACTCTAATGTGTCAGCAGAGGGAGATGAATCTGCTGCACGGTCGGGCACTGGCAGGAAAAACACAAGCGGCGTCTCGGGTTTCCCAGACTGACAACGACACGGCACACTGAGATGTGTTCAAAGACTCCCCGTCCGTCGACCCAAATCAGTGGACTGGGATGCGAAGCAGATTTGATTCATTAGGAGGATTATTGTTATTGCTCTCTCCCAAGTCTGCAGTAACCAGCAGGAACAGTCATGTCGCCTGGGTCAAATTGGGTTTGACATAAATGGTGCTGCCAAATCAAAATGATCAGTCAGTGAAAGTCTCCGTGTGTTCTCATCAGAAAAAAACGAGTCATAGTCCCATCATAGCCTCTAAAAGCAGAAAACCAATCCATCATGTCCATGTAGTTTTAGTTTTCAATTAAAGAATAAAATATTTAATTACCTTTGACACGCTGCAGGTACTGCTAACAGTCAGCAGGTGGCAGAGCTGCATCATTTAGTGACATTAGGGATTCAAAGATGAGACACATTACCTCAGATCAGTTGTATGGAAACAGATGACAATTATGTGTTTTTGGCAACATCACAATATCATCTTGAACTTTTAGTTAATGTTTACTCTCAAGGCGATGAGCTGAGCATCACTTACTAAAATAAAACAAAATAAAAAACACAACATGATCAAATGCATTTTATTAAGAACAGCGACTCATGCTGCTCCTAAAGCAATTCAACAAATTAATCATTAAAGTTAAATATATATTTTATTTGCAAATATTTCAATTTCATACATAGAAATAACAATAAATAATGAAGATGTACTAAATGTAATAGTTTAAAAGCAGCTTTATGTTAGTTAAAGCAGGAAGAAATTTAATTTAGAATGTGATGAATTGCATTGATCTGTGTTGAACTGTGTATATTTCAAGCGTTCAATACACGCGCACACACACCCACACACACACACACCCCCCACACACACACACACACCCACACACACACGCTTGCAGTCACTCACAAAAATCCCATCACATGTTTTTCTGTCAACATTTTTATAGAACACAGTTAGAGATTGATAACAACTTCAGTCATTGTACAGTCTTTACTGACAAAATTTAACTTAAGAATTATAAAACATAGCTTTATACTTTAAATATGCTGGTACAATTTAGTACAAAATACAAAAATAAAGGCTTTCCGCAGCCGACACAGACACCATCAGTCACATACTGGCTCTCAGAAACAGACAGAACCTGGGTGCACCAGTCTGGCACACTTTCAACCTAACACAGCGAAGCACTCGTTAAAATACTGGATCATAATCTGTTGTGTTTCTTTTTACATCGGGATGAGAGAGAAGGGATTGTTTAGAGAATTTGTGGATGACGACTAGCCACTAGATGGCGCTCCAAATGCCACTAACAACACGTTTTAGCCACCACTTCAGCGGGAATCGGATTAGTTTTCATCTCTTCGGTGCACATTCAGGTCAAAATGCATGTCAAGTGTCTTTACCGCTGACCGACATCTTCATGCTACAATGTCGTTTGCGCCCATGTAGTTTCTTTCTGGCGATGTCCGTGACGAGTAAAAACATCTCCACCGTTTTAGACGTGCTCAAATCGACCGGAAAGGATGGAGAAACGAAGCGTCTCCCTCTTTATTTTTAGTCCCCTCTGGATTTCTTCTGGGGCAAATTGTCTTACATTTCCAATATGAGAATGCAGTCGCTTTGTTCTTTCTCGTTCCCCCTACCCCCCTCATTCACACATACAGACAACAACAAAAAAGCCCCAAAAGAAATACAAACTGCATTCGTTCAGTTCGTCTCTGCTCGCAGGGCCGGCATGTGCTACGACTTATCCCCTTGGAGAACCTGAATTAAAGACACAGTCTGTTACAAATCAGCTTTTAGAAAACCATTTCCAGTTTGTTTGTGTTTGTGTACGCGGGACATGTGTGCGCGCCCGCTCGCGGTTACGTGGAAGACGTGTGTGTTTGCTCTCTTCTCGGCATTAGCGATGCTTACCTACCTGGTTGCGAGTTTTTGGCGATTTCTGCATGTCCACCCTCCACTGGTCGTACAGCTTCATGGACATACTGCTGCAGCCGTAGGCGTGCTTCTTCACCCAGCCGAGGAACTGCTTCAGCTCCCGCCGCAGGGTGGAGTTGGAGTCGCCGCTGGACTTTGAGTCACAGGACATCAGTCGCTCTGAGGACCGGGGAATCGGGGTAGGAGAGGAGATCGAGAAAGGATTTGGAGATTAAATGTTGAGAAACATCTTCATTTTTTTATTTATTTGCCCATACTGAGTCATTTTTCCGTTTATTTTTTTAAAGCAAATCGAAAAAAAGAGTGATCTTAAATGTGCTGCTGTTATGGGGAAATTTTAACACTACACTCGGCACGAGATGGTCACAGGGATGAAGAGGTTTTTAAAACACTAAATGGAGAGTTTTCTCCAGATGTACATTGTTTGTACAATGTTCTACGAATTTACATTCTTGGGTAATACTGGTCTATGGCGCTATTTTTATGTAAAATTATCCGCCGACAACAATCTCACACCAAGCCAACATTACCACAGGATATTGTTCATACTACCTTCTGCTAATGACAGACACAGTGAGAAACTTATTTTAGCCTCAAAGTAAACAAAGGCATTTCTTTGCATGTTGCCTAGTTGTTTAGTAGAGTACAGCAGCTGTCCCTCCAAAGCTCATATATAACCAAACATGTTGAAACTGGGTACAAATCACGCTTTATCAAGAATAACGCCACAGGGTTTTTATTTTATGCATTGTTTGTATCTTAGCTGAAGTGATTTCATGAGTTCGTAGAGTTACCAGCAACAAGGTAACGCTAATAAAATCCCTCATTGGTAACAATCGAGCGGTGACTACCAGTGATGATCATGTCCTGTCAGCTCCATCTCTGGATTATATACTCCAGAATTTCATCCACTTCTTGTCAGAGCCTCCTGCAGGCTTGTTGTCCTGTCAACTCTCTAATGTCACCAAGGGACAATTTAAATCTGTCCAACCAGTTACTCTTCTCATACTATAAATCAAAACTGGGAAATATATTTAATTTAGAATATATTTTGCAAAAGCTTGCAATCGGAATGTGATTGTTTGTTTCATTGCCGTGACAATTCCACCAGTCTGCACCAAGTTGGTGAAAACGTCCCGGATCCCACAGGCTTTACTTGAGGTAAATTATCCAAAAAGTTAAAAGTTTTTGTCATTGAAGCTTTTAAACTGTGTCTGTCATGAAGTAAGTGAAGTAAAGTGCAGGCCTAGATGTAAAAAGATTTCACTGCGTTGTAAAGAGTTGCATGGGAAGGGCAGCAGGTCCAACGGGAGCAACAACTAAAGATGAAAACAACAAGAACGTATTTCTCCCACTAACAGAGGACCTTTTTGTCTCCTCGCGCCATAATAAATACATTCTGAGTCTTCCCCCCGAAGAAACCCTTGCAGAAAAATGTGAGTTTTTATGATCAGGGTTTTGTTTTCATAACTGTGGCCGTTTTTGTGGCCAGTTTATGATAACATTTTATACAGCAGTTACTGTATTCCTGAGTCTGGAGCGACCTAACTGGATCCAGGATGCCAAACAGCACAAGTGCTCAAGGATTTCTGACAGTTTTCATCTCTTCTTTGCCAGAAAATGATTCTTTTGTCAAAATGTAGTAAGTAGGTCTGTTTCTTGTCATTTCCTGACTAGCTCAAACTATATTGGATAAATAAATATGACAAAATAATCAAAAGGAAAACAGACTGGAAGACTGAAAGTACAATTATCTATCTGCTTCTCTGCCGCCGAGAGCTGCTGGGCGCTCAGTACACTGTGATATCAAAAATTGCTTCTATATGGACCAAAATGATCCCAAACTCGGAGATCCAGAATGGAAAAAAAAAAAAAAGCTCTTGTGAGGAGACCCCTGACAGGGCGCCCGTGTGTGTGCGTCTATGTGTGATTTTTTTTTCTCACCACTGTGGGGTGTGGAAGCAGCTGTGGGGTGGCTCCACTCGCTCCAGATCCCAGCTTTGCGAGAGCCGTAGATTCCCACAGGGTTACACCGAACCTGTGGAAAATACGACGCAAATTAACAACGGCCGATCGCTAAACCTTTAATGACTCTCGTAAGTCTACACACCCCTGTTAAAATCCATTTTTTTGTTTTCTTTTTTTTCCCCTACGTCAAAAGCTGAGATCTTTATATATCCTTTTTTTTTTTTTTTCCATCGTTGATGTTACGTAGATGCGCTTTCGCGTGCAACTAAAGTTTCACTGGTTTGTATTTTCTGTAACGGAAAACAAACAAACCAGCGAAAGGGAAAAAAAACATAAATCAGATCTTTTGAATTAATTTCACAATTTAGTTCTCCTTTCGGTCATGGAGAATCTGACAAAGCTGAAATAAAAGTTCAGCTCCAGTAAAAATATAGGGCTTATTCTTTGTTGGAAAAAAATCCTTCTTGGAAACAAATTGGGTATAATCTGTCTAGTCACATTATTCTGACCATGACTTTTTCTTGGGGTTTTTTATTGGATGACTGATGTTTGAAAAACAAGACATATTGGCAATTTAACATTTTAATTACAGGTAACATGGCGGTTTCAGAAGGAGATCGTTTCTTCAGCAGCGGAGTGAAGTCAGGACTGCAGACTTCACTCCACAAATTCTCTGTTACACTTTGAGGGTGAACTTTGACCTCTTAGAGGATAAAGTTGACTCCCTAAAAATGAATATGGGCCTCTTGCTCCATCTTGAGACTGCCTCAAAGATGACAAGCCTTGTTTTTCGAGAGAGAAAGATGCCGTCCCACAGCATCATACTGCCTTCGCCACGCTTTAAATGCGTTTCGCCAAAAGCAGAGAGAATTTTGTTTGGCAACTTCCAATCACATGTTGCAAATTTTAAAGGGAAGCAAACAGGCTTTTCCTACAGTGTAAGATTTAATGCCAAAAACCATTATTGTTAGAACAATAAAAAAGCAAACTAAAATTTTAATACCTTTTCCACACCAAGAAACCAAATCCAAACGTTTCCAAAAGACAGAAACAGGACTGACATGGTCTAAAATAATTGCATACGCCGTAAGAAACGTGGGGGTGAGAGCATCAAGTATGCATGTTTTTGTCAAAGTGCACAAAATTATGAGCAGCTACATAAAACAGCAACGATTTGACTCAAATTGATAAATGCTTGGTGTAAAAGAAAGGGATTTATTTATTTAGCATCGCAGTGAGTCCAATCGCTCGTCCACATCAGCAAGGAAACAACTTCACCAGGAGGAAATTACAATTTTGTGACTGTGACCCAGAGTCTAGAAATAAGTCTGACGGGACATGTGTGGGATTGAAGAGAGAAACGGACGGATTTGAAGAACTTTTGCAAACTGGAGTGGGAAAGTTTTACCTCATCGTGGTGTGACACGCTGAAATGAAATCAAAAGGGGTTTCAATCA